GGTTATGCCCAGCAGCCTGGTCTTTTGTTCGGAGTATGGTCTTTTGTTACAGAGCCCTGTTTCCTTTGTCCGAGTTCGGAGACCCCGGCCACACATATAAACCATACGGCTCCGATTTCGGAGTCCCCAGCTGGTAGTGGTTAATGTACTCAAAATGAACTCAAAATGAATGTAAAATACAAGGTGCATGCAATTCAATGTGGGATGGCCCTTGGGGTATTGATCATTTCCCCTTTTCCACTTCACCCACAAATACTTCGCCCCTGCACTGCTATTATACATATTTGCCACTTTTCCAATACATGTCTGTATGTGCACGTTTGACAGGCCATTGCATTGCAGAATTACCATGCTCTCTACTGCAACATTGCAGTTTTGGTTTGCTTGCCTTCTATGAGCCCCAAGCTGGACCAAGAGAGGGTACAATTTTCCAAACAACAGACGTGCACATGTTACGGGTGCATTGCTACCAGTGAAATGAACGCTCCCAACCGACATGGCTCTATTCTACCAATGATGGGGGCGCTTCTGCTCAAGGCAGACAGCTACATTAGTCACCAAGTGAGAGTATTGACCTTATTACTTAGTGTTGTTAACATTTTACTGTCAATTCTGTAAGTTCAGACCAAAGGAAGGTCATATCTTGGTCACAGAATAGGGCAAAATTGTGCAAACTCAGTATGGTCAGTCAGTCATGAACAATGCTACATTGCTAGCCCATGACTACGGAGGCTAAGGAATTGGTGAAGTTTCTACATTTACTTTCATGAGGTTATGTAGAGAAAATCACAGAGAACATTTTAAATGAAATGGTAAAAAAAGGAGAAAGGTGAAAAAGGGAGATCTCACTGCAGCCCAGAACTCCAACATTTGGTAGTTTTCGGCAAAAAGAAAAGCAAATTGCAAAGTAAGATGCATTTAATAACTAATACTTTTCAGTCTATCAATCTTTCACTCCTAACGTAGGTATTATGACTTTTTTCTTTGAAATTTGACAAAATCATGATAACACGAAAAGTGAAAACTACTTTGAACCATTCTGTACTTTCAACCTAAGCGGTTAAAATATTAATGAAATGCAGAGGGAAAGAAGCTAACCTGGGCAACAATGGTGCTGCACTGAATAGCATACTTCCTGGATGAATCTTCATCCCCAGATTTAATACAGGGGTACTGAGAGGATATCATAAGATTCTTCAATTTAAGCCCAGGCATGGTAACAATCTTAGAGTTGGTATCTTTGGACAAATGTCAAAGGCTACGCACTACCGGTATAAATTTGATTTTAGAGAGAAACTTCCTTTGACATTCGGTTTACCTACCATCTTTTGATCAGTAAACTCACCTGCTGATTGACAACTTGGACACTGCACTACCGTCAACCCTAAAACTCACAGTCATTCCCTCTGTATCATTGTAATTAATTAGAGACAATAACAAACTCTCTTGTGGGCTTGCACCAAGTTATGTAATGCTCGCCAGGAGATGGGAGTCCTAACAAACTATTTCCATTTGGGCCCTGCATTACATAAACTAGTAAATAATGGTATGAATTTTTTGGAGACTCAAAGAATAAACATGCCTGTATCCTTTGCATTGTTTGTAAATAAACTACTGACTTTATCCCCATCGATTGGTCCCCCAAAGCACTCTATGTTAGGCTACAGAGTGTGTTTCTAACTTTACTTGTGACTTACTAATCAGCTCTGCTCACTATGTTCCAAGGCCCATCTCCTCAAAACTTTGTCATGCATTTCCAAGGAACAGCCTTTGAACTCTTGTTCAGTGCCTTAGTTAATGTTTTTGTCATATTAATAATTAGTATTTTATATCTGACAAGATTTGTGTTTGTTTTAACCATGTTCTTTTTGTTTCAATACTCTCAACCTTTGGAATTTTTGGAGTTTTAGGGGAATTCCAGAGCCCCACCAGCCTGTGCCATGCCAAATGATGAACTACATGCAAGGTCAAATCCTCCTGGCTTGATTTGATCGAGAAAGCAATTCGTTCCACTTTGGCAGAACATGTCTGGAAGGTTCTTCAGTTATTTCATGTATTTATTTCTTAAACTTCTTTAATTACAAATATATTAAACATACAATGTATATATTTTTTCTTCTACTTTCTAAAATGTTAGAATACCCGATTTTGTTGATTTGTTTTACATGGACAGTACAGTAGTTCAGAGAGCAGCAGGAGAGCATGACCACCAGCCTTCAGGATATCATGCCTGTGTGGTCGACAAATCTAGTGGTGAACAATCTCAAGTACATGTACAAGCCTTATGTCAGACTCAGACTCAACTCACACAGGACTGGGTTTAGAAAAACCAATTCCTCTCCACCTAACTGGCACCACAGCCAATGACGGGTCTCTGTGAGTCTTCACAGATGACTGCACACATCCTGTGGGACTAGAATCCCTTTTACAGCCATCCTTGACACTACAATGGACTGGTTGAGAACTAACGTTCCTATGTGATTACCCCCTAGGCTCGATTATATGAATGATGACGAGAAATGCTACTTTAAAAATGACAGAATTTTTACAAGACCTTTACCAGTGCTGAGGCAAAGTCTTGTCCGTGTCATTTACCAATTTTCAGGCTCTTTCTAGGTTAACCCTGTACACTTGCAGATAGTTGCAGGTAGTGGCATTTCAGTCCATACAGCTTTTTGTTAGTCTTGTCATTTTCAAACCATTTTTTAATCATCACTGGACCATGCGCACTTGCTGGTCTGATTTAATCCCTTTTTAATGGGCCGGTTGCTCATCATCACTGATGTGATGCGCTATACAAGAAATGTGTTATTATTATTATTAATATTAGAAGTTTCAGAAGTCAGCCTCCTATTGCCCCCACTTTGTATGGACTAATCACGATAAGTACATATACTTATTCCTGTCAACCTGGCAACCAAGGAGCTTGCTAGTCACCATGTCTAATTACATCACGTGCATACTTTACTTAACATTTCAGTCGTACAAGGTAGCACTACATCATTTCCCCGTATTATTAATGGAAAATTGAGGGCTTGACAAAACGGAAATATTCCAGGACCCAACTTTTCTAATACTTGTAACCTGATCAATTCTGTGGACAGATTTTCAGCTTTTCAAGACTTTAAATTTGACTAATTTTCAAAACACTATTCAGATAGGAAGTTGAGTTACAATTGAAAAGGTAACTAACGGCCCACAATTGGGCTTGGGCTTTTCTTGAGAAGTTATGGTTTTTTATTAGGTAGCTAGTTAAGAATTGACGTTTGATTAAATTCACACTGACAGGGTATAAAACCAACGCAGCTGGTAAGTCTTAAACTGGATGAAAATGCATTCTCACTCGCCCAAAGGAAATAAAATTGTACTAATGTCTAACAATCCTAAAGCAAACAAGGATCACTCTACCACAATTGTCCTAATGACTTTGATAACTGTCTAAACTCAACCCTGTCCACTTGGATGAACCAGAATTAACCACAAAGAAAGGACTCCTATCCATACAAATAGACATAACTCTTTCAGTCTGTAACGGAGATAATCTCTGAATGGGTCCCACCCACCATTTTCATTATCTAAAGTAGTTAAAGGTTCTCAACTTTTATTATGATAACAGGATTGATGATTTTGCACAGAAATGGGAAAAATGGTAAATGGGCGAAGCCATTGTGGACAAAGTGACAAAGGGTGAAGTGACTGTAAAAGGAAAAGAATAGTAAGGGGCTTTAGAGTTGCGAAGGGTTGTGTATATTAGTCCTTGTCGAGGTATTCTTTGGAAAATGGGCATGAAATGAAAAAGCATTTTATTTCTTCTAGATCTCTTTCATACCTTTTCATGACAGAATTATAAAGAATCCGTTACATTTCAGTAATGTAAATTGTTGCAAAGGTTATGCAAATTAAGTGGGCCAATTGCTCTAGGGTTGGCATACTTTATCTCACTGACCGCTATTGTTCAATGAGATTTGTTTGCTCCAGTGCCATGGTCCAAAGCATTCTTGACTAGTAGAATGGACTTTGGAATTTCGTACCAGACTTAAAAGAGTTGGAATTTTGACCCTTGGCAGATTCTGAGCTTCCAGCTTGCTGGGGGGGGACAAAAAACATCAAGTTGAATTCTCCAATAATGCTCTCAATACAATACCTTGCAAATGCTTTTTCAGCACTTTTGTGCAAACCTTGCCGTTCAAGCAGAAGTCCATACATTGTGTAGGCACATGCATCATTTTGGATCCGATCTGAAAAAACATTTAAAATTTCACTTGCTCAGGAAAAAAAAGTATTTTGAGTCTTTTCAAATTATCAGATTTTTGAAAAGCAGAAACAGGAAATTGCTTAGGGGAATACACATTTATGAGACAAGTACCTGTTTTCTAAACTTCCCCACTTTGTAACCAAATATCTTGCCTAGTTTTGAATAGCCTTCACTGTCAAAACATTTCAGATATTAGTTGCATATTTCACTGACCTGTGACCTTATCCAGGCCAACTGTTGCCATGGAGACAGCATCCATCTGGACAATGTTGTAACGATAGCGCTCTGAGGTCTTATCAAGAGAGGGATCCAAAAGAGTTTGGCAGACCCAGTGGGCATAGCCAATAGCTCCTTCACTCTGTCAGACAGGGAGACAAATTTTCAAATATGCTGTGTAATTTGTTTGAACTTACATAAGCAGTATACTGAGAAACCATAACACTGAACAAGTATTTCACTTCTAATGTACTATTTCCAAGACAGTCCTGTTCTAGAATGCATGACATTCTTCAACAACTCACTATTTCTATACTTGCCCTCACCCCTTGTCCTTATCCTGTCTTAAGGCATGTATAGTACGGCTCTCAGATGACATGTGCTGCTGTATTTCAAGTACATGTGTATTTGTGATGTACATGTACAAGCAGGCATGGGTGTACCATTCTAATTTGACACTTACGTTGGCAACCTTCCTAAATGCCCATAAACTCCTACACTTTGCTGAAAACAAATGATACATTTTTTAACCACTACCAGCCGGGGACTCCGAAATCAGAGCCGTATGG